GGGTGGGGGGGTGGGGAAGAGAAAAAAAAAGTTGTGCAGCAAATGATTCAACATTTTGAGTCAAGGCTTTTTTCCATGTGCATGTTCTGTAATAGCTTTACTACTTCCCACTCCCTTCTATTTCAGTTATTACATCAAGGCCATGATAATGGCATCAAAAAAAAAAAAAAGCCACACAAAAACCCCTCAGCACACACAGGAAAGTATTTGTATAGTGCTTGGTTTGGTGTCCAGAGAGAGCACACGGTGAGCATCAGCACCACAATCAGTATGAAATGAATGCAATCTTCTTGTCCAGCTTCACTGACCTGGCCACACAAACAGATTCATTATAACCAGAAATAAACAACAGTTTTAAAGTTATCCAGTAAAAGCAGTAGTACAAACACTTCAGGGGTGCAACTAAACGTCTCTTGCTCACACCACATTGATTCAAGCATTTTTATGACTGAAGAACAGGAAAGAGCAGGTTAGAAAACTACGCTCCAAAAGCAACTACCATTCCTAACATTGGTTTTAATAAGCCTGTGATACATGAACAAACCCCACAGAGCTTCTGTTATGCCCTTAGATGGTGGGAGAGGGGACAGCCAAAGGAAGCAACCTGGAGATCCTCAGCACCAAGCTGTGCAGCCCAGCAGAGGGACAGCTGGAGATGAAGGCTGTGGACAAGTGAAAATAAGCAGCCATGTAGCCATAGGCTGGGTATTCAAAGTTAACTACTGGGGAAAAACCAACCCAACACCAGACTGGAACAGGTTTCTTTAAGGGTGATTTGGATCAGTGGGAATAGTCTTCAAACCTTACAGGCAAATATATTCATGCCTTAACACAGGAGTCCCTGCAGCAGAAAGGCCAAGAACGCTGACGAGGAACAGATTGTCCTCCTCTCCTCAGAAGCCTTTCACTCCAAATGCAGTCACTTCACTCCCATTCCCAGTATCCGGCTGTCTGGTTCCCCTCCTCTGGTCCATTCAAACAGAATGTACTTGTTCCTCCACACATTTTGCTGCCAGCTTCCCTCGACTCTCCATTGATGGTTGTTGGCAAACACAAGCACAGATAGTACCGAGGCAGAGCAGCACACGCAGTACACACAAGCCGATACAATCGCTAAAAATTGTACACTTTACACATATCTGAAAGCACCTCATTTAATACTCCCAGAATTCATAGATTTCAACATTTATGATCCATGCTTTTATCTTGAAGGAAATCTGAGGGGAAAATAGGGAATTTACACTGGTCAATTTTAAAAAGCAAGGAGAGGCACAAGGACAAAAAGCAAGAGGAAAGAGTTTAAGCTAAACCTCTTCCAAACTTCCCTATAAGATTTCCTGCTGGCTTCCACCTTTGGCTTGTATATGGCATTAAAAAGTCCTTTTATAGCTAAAGTCAAAGAGATCATACTTAACCAGACAAATAACTTGAGGATTTTAAAATCAGACTTAAAACAGCTCCATCACTTCACACTCAATAACAGACACTCACTGCAAGGCTGCTGAGAGCTGGAGTTGCTGTTGTTCCCAGCCTGGAGGCTAAAAGTCCAAGTACAGTCATAAACACCCCAGAAAATGATGTACTGGTACATGGTCTGGCACCAGTTTCTACTTTATTGCAGTCTGATGCTCTAAGCATGAAACATTGAAAACATGGAGCCACCCTGATTTAGCAGTGTTGGTAGAAGAGTGTTTTACAATACCCTGCCTCTACAGAGCAGCTGGAAGGGAAAAAGGAAGTTTTGGCTTGGTCACACAGGCACGTGGTCTCCACTGATTTCTTCTTACGAACAAGAAGTTTCTTTTAACTGAATCAATTCCTTTGCTGTTAAAACCCTACTTGTTTTTCTTCCTGCAATCTCAGTCCTCTGAAAGCAACTGCCACAGGGACCTGGGCACAGAGAGAGCCCTGCACGCTCCAGCAGATCTGTGCTGCCAGGAGTACCACTTGCCTTCCCTCCTGGTTGGGATGGAGACACCCCCCACTGCACTAATGGACACATCCGTGGCAGTTTTCAAATAAACAGGGCCACCTTGTTGTGACTCAGACCAACTGCCCTAATACTGGGATACCAGGAACATTTGGGGGCTTAATCCATTGAATATCCCACATTCCAAGCACTAATTCCAAGCGAGGCACCAACACCTCATGTTGGTTTTTAGCGAAGTTGTTTGGTCATGATGTTCTTTTCTAAAGCATGGAGCTACCTTATGGTTTTGTGCTGCTCACACTCAGCACAGTCAGTTATGTGCAAAGTTTTTCTCTTGTACTTGTCTGAAATGAGGGTTTGAGAAATACCAGATTCCAATTTCATTTGACAAATCCAAGGGAGGGGAGAAGAGGCTGCCCAGAGAAGCTGTGGCTGCCCCATCCCTGGCAGTGTGCAAGGCCAGGTTGGACACAGGGGCTTGGAGCAACCTGCTCTAGCAGAAGGTGTCCCTGCCCGTGGCAGGGGCTGGAGCTGGGTGAGTTTTAAGTTTCCCTTTCCACTCACACCAAGCAAACAAGCCCCACCACCCCAGCCCACCCATTCTACCCAACAGAGACTCTCAGCCGAGGTGCACGCTCCTGTTACCTGTGCACAGCACAGCAGAGAAGGTTTTGCTCTGCTCATAGCACTCGGATGTGTATTTTCCATGACTTTTGGCACAGAAATAACAATACAAGCAGTTCAAGTTTAGACATCATTGTGGTAACTGAAGGGGAGCAGGAGTTACTGACAGTTGCATTCTGACCTTACTGCAATAAGTTTTTCTCCACAAAAACATGCCAGTAAATGCTGTTTTACAGTGCCCTCAGGCACTCACCTGCTACCTTAACACATCTGCTGAAGCAGCACTACAGAATCCATCACAGGAGCACGAAGCACAGTGCTTCCTCTGCTACAAGAATCCAGTGAAACAATTTCCTGGAGGTTTTCCAAGAGACAGCATGCAGGATGCTATTGACTCAAACTGATTTCATTAGGATTTTCATCCTAAGGTATCTTTAGCAGCTTTACAACCAACCAGCCCATACAACCTATTCTGCACACTCACAGCCATGATAAAGTCTTACTCAGGTTGTTTAACTACAACATCAGAACAGGGTACGTGTCAAAACACAAAGGCATTTTAGCTTGTATTGCACATGCAGGATCATCCCCAACACAAGTCACCAACACTCCTGATGTCTGCACTAGTCACAAGCAAGTTTGGAAATGCTGGGAAAAGGAAGTTCAACCAATCAACTGGACTAGACAGGGCAGGAAGCACATGAGTGGCACTGAAAGGTAATAGTTCATTAAAGCATAATTAGCACCTGCAAGGTAGCAAAGGTGGAGTGCTACATTCCCAAAACTAGTGACTGCACCATAAACCAGATAGTGCCAGTGAACTTTGAAAACTATTTAACCTGATATGGCCACAGCAATGTCAAATCACTGCACACATTCCCTGCTCTCCCCTGGAGACTTCATGCTCCCTTGAAAATGACAAAGCTGTTCGATGACAAGTGTCATCTTGCTGCATTCAAGGGCAGAGGCCACAGATATCTACCCTTGAACTGCAAGCCATGCTGTCACTGCTTTGGCTAAAGGGCAAGGAGGAAGCAGATACTGCCCTGAAGCTGATGAAGTTGTCTATTAGCACTAGCTTCGAGAAATGAAAACACTTAGTGTGAGAAGGAAAGCAGGAAGAGAACAAAGAGTGATGTCTATTGATACTAAAACTCAAATTCCAAAGCATCTAAGCAAATTATTCTTGGTATACATGAGACAGCAGTGTGGAACCATCCCTGGCAGTGTTCAAGGCCAGGTTGGACACAGGGGCTTGGAGCAACCTGCTCTAGTGGAAGGTGTCCCTGCCCGTGGCAGGGGGTTGGAGCTGGAGGAGCTTTAAGGTCCCTTCCAACCCAAACCATTCTATGATTTTGTGAACTGATTTGGAGGAGGGACAGGCCAGGACAACCTCAGCCCAAACCCAACAGAAATAAGTAACATTTCCCTACCTGGAAATGCTGCTTCCTTATGCCCCACTATGCTCCCTATGACAGGAGGCATTCCCAGGACACTGCATTAGTTTAAGAGCTGTATCCGGTCAGATAAAAGGTCCCCCCACTTTGGTATCCTGCCTCTCCCAGATGCCAACAGCAGCTACCTAGGGAAAAGACAAAGAGAGGGCAAACACGTGCTGCTAATCCTGGCACCTATGCTGTTTCCTATCTTTTTTTTCTAAGAATCCTTACATTTGATCTGGATTTCTGGCCCATTACTGAGCCAATGTTTTTACCTATCTATTTATTCTAATACCCAGATCTCGTATGGGGGCAGCAACATTCATCCAGCATTGACAGTCTCATTTGCATGTGAGGCACTAACTATTTTTTCCACCCATGTGCATCACTTGATATTAATCCACATGGAATTTATCACCAACTCACTAATTTCACAGGATTCTTCCACAGTTCTTTACCACTCTGAAGAGTTTGGACTTGCCAACAAGCTGCCACTCACTGATCACTCCACTTTCCTAATTATTTCTTGGTGTTGAACAAAAACATATCCTTAAGCATAGATCTCCATCTCCCTCCATAATGAGAATTAACAGCATATGCCTATCCTCCATCCCCAGCTCTTTATCCATATGAGAGCCATACCTTCGCCCTACAAAAACCATGCAATTTCTTTGGCACACTTTGGTAAGTGATGCTGTCAAAGCACATTCTTTAAATTCAAGCACTGGATTAACTGGAAGTCCTTTCCCAATATATCTGTTGACCCGTACAGAGAACTCCAATAGGTTTCTGAGGCATAACTTGCCTTATCAAAAGCCATGTGGGCTCATTCTCAACACATTATATTACTCCTGTGCTCTACTAATTCTGTCTGTTAGAGTTTCTACTAATTTGTTCAGTAGAGACATCAGTCTTACTGGCTTGGAGTTCCCTGGATCTCTCCTGGAGCCCATTTGAGCCACAGCCACCACCTTCCAGTTCTCAGGTACTAAGACAGTTTTAAAATGAGAGGTCATATACCAGTTAGTAGCTGAGTGAATCCACGGTCAAGTTCCTTTAGATCTGCAAGAAATCTCTATTCATCTATTCGATTTGTCTACATATTCCACAGCCTCTTCTGGTGGCTCTTCCACATGAAGCAGCTCCATTAATGTGTCCTTCAAAGACAGTTCCCATATGGATTTCATGTGAACTGACCTGTGGTTTTCGAGTGCCGGTTCAAACTGGGATTCCACAACAGACTCCCACCAGCTCCAAGTTATCTGACAAGACGCTACATCCCAAAGATTTCAGCGTAGTAAAGCCTACATCAGCCTGGTTACTTTAAAATTGCTACCCTAGAGTATTTAAAACCCAGCACTGAGAAACAACAAGAGAAACAGCTTTAGAGAAATAAGCCACTCCAATACATCCAAACAGTGATATGTCAATTGCTGTTGGCTGCTGCAACTTGCTATTAATAGCTTCTGATTACAACACATCGCTGCAACTTGATAACTTGGCAGTTGTTTTGCTGTACTACACATATCTACAGCTGTTCAGCAGCACAAATACTATCAAACCCTTCTGATCAACCTTGTAGTGATACCTTTTTAACAGTGCTAGCACAGCAGATCTCATTGGATACAAGAGAGGTGTCATAAGAAGGTCTCCTGGCTGAAACGCAGAGGTTCTTAGGAGCCCTTTTTCAGAGATGGGGCACTGGGCTTTCATCTTTTGAGACCTGAACGTATGATGGAGAATTCTGCCACTCAAATGACATCTAAAAGGTTGGTAGGTTAAGAGCCTCTAATATGCAGCAATAAAATGTGCATAATTTGCATTAAAATGCACAAACAAGGCAGTGAGTGGCAGTACTCTGATCCAAGTTAAAGCACAAAGAGCCATGGGGTGAAGCACCTACACCTTACCCCCAGGAGCATGAGACACCTCCTCACTCCTTGCACTCTTGCTCACTCTTTGGAGGGCCCTTTCAAGCCTTAGCTTTAAAGCTTAGCCTTTCAAGCCTCCAGACCCTTAGTTAGAATCATGCCTATTGAAAGCACCTACATGTGTGATCATAACAGGACACAAAACACTGCCAGCTCTGCTTCAGGGTCACATCTGCTAACACAAACTAGCTGGTGGGGCAGACACAGATGGTCACGGTTCCTCCTAAAGGGTCCAAAGCAGCTACTACAGTGCCCAAATAGCAGATGCTGCACTAAAAACATTACTCAACAGAATCCAGGATTTATCCACAACTGAAGAGGTTTTCAAGTTACAGTCCTGACTCAAACACAACAACACTAAAGCCAAGACAGGTCAACCACATGCCACGACCAGAATCTAATGTCCTCTTAATACTAAAATGAAACAGATGGTTCTGGTTCCTGAGGATGGACTCTGCAGGCTCTATTTCTTCTGTGAAGACTCTGCTAAATTTAAAGACTTGTGCTCTTAATGAGACAGAAAGAAGAGAGAAGAAAACATTCCGTAGATATTTTAATCCAGTACACATGACTATCAGGAGCACTTTCCTCTTTCTGTGGCTGAAAAGAAAACCTAACTTAAGCTACAGAGAAGGAAAAGGAAAAAACCCAGCAACTTTCTGGCAGACTAAAACCACTTCAAGAGAAGACATCTCTAACATGTCACAGAACAAATGGGCAGGAGTCTGTGAGAGAAGAAAAAAGCCTCTCTTCCCTCTCAATTCTCTGTCCAAACAGCATTTCAAACATTAAAAGCCTGCCCACATAGCAGAACAAAATGATCAGAAAAGTTTTAAAAGTGCTGCAGAACATTGCAGACTTCTTTTTAAGATGACTCACCTATTAGAAGAGAGTCCCCTGAATGGGATTCCATAATTGGTTTTGACAGGGGAGGTTTTGATCTGTGGGAAGAAGGAAGAAGCATCTCTGAGCAGTTAAGCTGGTTTAACAGTGTGAATACAATTTGATTTTTTTAACATATAAATGTGTGTGTGTGTTTTAAAAACAGACAAGAGATACCTCTGCCCTCTACTGGAAATACAAACGTCTGCAAGTTAGACTTAGTACTACTAAGTTGCAGTTGAGTTTTAAACCCAATGACTCAAGTCCTGAGGTAATCGACCAAGAGAATTCCTGACACTCTCTCCAAGCATCCTCCATAAGCCCTCATGTATTAGTTCAAGCAGAATACTCCCCTATCACACCAGCTATCCCACCTCTCTACCTGAACATCAGGTCTGGGAACTTACTACTGTCTTCAACAGTAAGAGAAGATGAATTAATGGACTCTAATCATTGTGAGGCTTCTCCTGCCCAGTATATTTTACATAATTAAAAGTAAAGCCTGCTTGCCTCCCTACAGCTTCCACATACCAGCTTCTGCAGTGGGGAACAGTGGCTGCAGAGCCACACGTGTGACTCGCCTGCATAACGAAACCTCCATCCTAAGATAAATGAGTTTCTCAGCAGAGAGCTGAAGTAACTGGAGCTTGGAACTCATGGCATTTTGCAGAATTACACTCAGTTTCACACAGCTAAACACAGGCACCATACTTACTTGATGTGATGTATTTTTCTTGCAACTATCATTGGAAAATCCACTTCAAAGTATTTTCTAGGGAGAAGATTTTCATCCTGAGAATTGGAGTGAGACTCTAGAATTAGGGACATTCAAGTTTCACATGTACATGACAAGATACAACCTTAAGTCCTGGACCATTCTGGTCTAGTTTACACTGGCATTTGTAACAGTAGTATAGCTTCATGTCCCACAGCTTAAAAACCCCACCAAAACAACAAAAACAGTTGAGAGGCATTAGAATGTGCTAAGTATTAAGGAAATTATTTAGCTCTTTATGCAATGCAGCGGTTCCAGACACCAGATCACTGAAACATATATTCCAACAATGTATTAACAGGATCTGGAAGAGCACAGCAACAGGAAACTACTATGACATTTACCATCCAGCTTCAGTACATTCTTCTAAGAAGGGAATCAGGAACATTTTGCACAGGTTTACACAGAAAGTGACCATATTTCACAACTTGTCCTCAGCCAGACAGCCAGACTACACACACATCACTACTCCTCTACTACAAAGAAGGGGAAAACCTCCTCATTTCATGTTGTCACTATGTGACACCCTGATGGATAAGCTGTACTGAGTTTCTCCCTATGCAGCAATCCTTTTGTGATGGATTTGCACTGCAAGTTCTAGCTTGTCAACCTCATGAATTTCTGAGCAGGAGATTGAATCAGCCAGAACACTGAAGCGCTCAGTTAACTGGGTCCCATCTTCTGTATGTTAATGATAGCACACCTCTTCCCATGGAGAAGGAATTGAAATTAGAGGCCCCACTTTAGCTTCTAAGATCACTGCTACAGAAAGTTAATAAAACTGTGCATTGACAGTTTTCATAGGAACGCAAATAAGAAAAAAGCTGCACTTCTCAGAAACAAGGTCATTATTTTTCCCTTCCATTCAATGAAATATGAGGAATTGTGACCAAGCAAAAGCCATCTGGCTGCCTTGGGCTTTCTTCCAGACACCAAATTTACAGATGTGAATACTAATGAGAAGGTGACTTCGAGGTGTGTGCAGTCAGAACGATACCATCAGACAGTATCTGAGTAATCTGCATTTTTGAGAGTTACATACACACAAATAGACAAACCTATAAGTTTACATATATTAACTCACATCTATATACATAATGTAACATTTAAATAGAGCCTCCACAACCCTGTACTTCGGTTGCTATTCCTGGTTTAATATAGGATTTAAAAAAGTGAAATCTTAAAGCGAACAGGCAAAGGTGGCATCAAGCTCTGCTCCTTTAAGTCCACTAGAGGTCAGCTTCCTGTCACACACATTTTGGTAAATAACAGCAAAAACTGCACTGAGGTTTAAAGGTGCCTAAACGAAGCCTAAGCAAGCTGAGACCGAGGCAGGACTCAGCCCGGCTGCACTAATCCTTGTCCTGCTACAGGACGCAGCACCAGCAAGTCCTCACAGAAGAGTTCTCCAGACATCCACACAGATCCTGGTGTGCAGCCCAGCTCGTTACTCCCAGGTATCATTACCTTCAGTCTCCAGAACAGGGTGTCCATCCCAGCCCCAAGATTTACAATCTGACAGTTGCATTCTGTCTTCTTTAGAAAGGCTTTAATCAGGTAACTGACTCCGTGGACACGAGCATAATAACCTGTTAACAACAACAGGAAACAAGGTCTGTTTTTCATTATTGTTTTCACTTAATGATTAACACTTGGTAAGATTTTCAGGTAGCATTTTTAAAATGGTGTTTCTTAGGAAGAGTAATGCACTCTTTAACATACCTAAGGAGTTTGTTTGGTTGATTTAATTACTAATAAAATCTGATGTCCTGATAAACCAAGATTCCTTGGGTAAATAAAAGTTTTACTCAAGTTTCTCCTGAAGCTGAGCAGAACAATTCTAGCTGATGAGCACAAGTTGCAGAGACACACCCCAATGTCCTGGGTCAAATCAACACTTTTGATTGCTTTGTAATGACTACTGCACACTGAGACACAGAAAGACATGCCATTAATACAGAAAGCAAAGAAGAGTTTGGATTCATAGAATGGTTGGGGTTGAAAAGGACCTTAAGATTATCTACTTCATAACAATATTTAAAATATCAGACACGGTATGGAATTTTCACTGTGATAAAAAGTTCTCTCATTCTTTTATGTATTTCCTAGGCTCCACAATACCCAGCATACAGTGGTTTTGCCAGGTGCTCTTCAAGACCAGTTAAGAACACATTTGCGCCATCTTCATTCACATGCCCACTTGCCTCTATTGATTTCAGGTGCTTTTCTTTCTTTGGCTTGTCTCACAAAATACTGGATGTAAGGGTCCTTCCAGTAGCCAACACTTACAGCAAATCTGTCCAGCAAAGGGAAAGAATGAAAGAATTATGAAATAAGGCCACTGAGATTTGCTCTAAGAGACACACAGGCTGAGACACACTCTCTGACCTGAGTGACTACATTCAGACACAGGTTAAAACAATCTGTTGGATCAATCACATCAGCCCAGACTAGTTTGTGGTGGGACTCCCCCAGCCCCACCCCCGGCCCCGGGCAGGGACACCTTCCACTAGAGCAGGTTGCTCCAAACCCCTGTGTCCAACCCGGCCTTGAGCACTGCCAGGGATGGGGCAGCCACAGCTTCTCTGGGCACCCTGTGAATAACACATGGAACTATTTCAATTAAGAAGTTACATAAAGTTTAGTTAATTTTTTTAGCTGCTGCTATATTAAACAAACATCTTCTCAAAGGCGTCTGCACTATCTGATGACCTTTTGCAAGCACAGAGCCTAATCTCAAACATTTCCTTCTTGAGGGCCCAGCAAACAGAGGAATTGTCTGCCCACAGCTCCTCAGAACACACACAAAGCGAACTTTACTCATACACATCATTATACTATGAGCTGTTTGCTCTAGTTCCAGAGCTTCTAGAGACCACTCCAACCCAGACATCAGCGCTATTCCATTCTAACAGAACTCACTGGCTTTAGAGCCGATTCGAAGGTAAACTCCCCAAAACAACCACAACCACCCAGCAATTTGCTGCTACCCCAGTAACAAAAGGATGGAACAAAAGGCAGCAACAACAGAAGCGCAGTTCACACTCATGCACAGCAGGGCAATAGAACTGACCCCCTCCCAGCCCGGCCGGCGGAGGAGGAGAAGCAAAGAAGTCTGAAAAACATCAAGGTTTTTTAACTGAGATACTGAGATACCGAACACGAGGGAAGTTCCTGACGCCGCTATCAGACACCATCATTCCGGCCACCACCGCACGCTGCTGCACAAACAGGCTCTAAGCTGGAAGCCAGGCAGAGCTCTGGAGCAGGGGCAGGGCTGTCCGGGGCAGCCCCGGGGACTACACCTGAGCCAGGCCGCGCTCTCACAGGGGAACGCGACCGTGTTCGG